TTAAAATCTTTTAGCATAAACATAAATTTCATAGATGCGTCATCTATACTATTATAATAAGGCATAAACACACACTTCTTTGTTACATAAGATGTCAGCAATTACAGCATATTTTTGAATAATATTTTTTTAATAAAAAGCCTTACACTTGCGTCACGCTTTAGACCACAAGTTGCTGCCAATATCAAGGAAGCAAGGTTGTCATCATGTCATGTAATTTTGACAAATGTAAACAATAAAATAAAATTTTCATAATTTCATGCGGATGAAGTCGCACGCGAACAGCTAGTTGAGTCCTATAACTTAAGGAGTTTAAGATATAATTTTTTGTTAATTAAATCCTAGAACCTTTAAATTACAAAAGGAACTAGATCTAAAAAAAATAGATAATCCCACTGAATCTTAAGAGATAAAGAAAAGCCTGACTATCGTTTTCTTTAAGCAATTTCCACCCCAGTTATTATTCTCAGAAAATTTGCATGAAAGAAGCTAAGGTGGGGGTAAAACAATGAAATCTGGTGACTTAATTTAAAAACTGGAGATTTTATATTAGAGGATTATTAAGTTTAATTAGTTTAAGGAACCGCTGTGAATTAAGCCTATTGAGTCTTCTTGGAATGAGATCACTTTACATTTCATAAAAGACACAAAGCTTAAACAATCAGTTAATTTTGACGAATTAACAGACGTAAGTTATTATTAGTAATAAAAAATGTGTGTTTTTTTTTACTTTTATTTTAGCGTTTAGTAAATGGTTTAAAAAATTAAGTACAGTAGAATCTCGATAAGTTAAAGTCCAAGGAAAACACAGAACATTTTAAGTTATCAAGAGTCTTTGTTATAGTGGTTTTGGGCTCTGATAGGAAGGGACATATTTTATGGAGTTATAGAGGTTTTTAAGTTACCGAGGTTTGAGTTATTGAGGTTCTATTGTAGTATCAATAATTCTCTAATAAATTAGATACATATCAGGCGGTATTTCGTATTGATTAAACAATATTTTTTCTTTTTTTTTCAGTTGTACGATACCTGAGGCCACAAAATAAAAAAGTAAGTCAACATCAAATAAATGTTCCGCTGAAAGTAAAATGTGTTTTACCACGCTACTTTATAACATTAAATTCAATTTTCCCTGTCAAGTGTTAAAAGAAAAGTTCTAGAATGTTGAGTTTACTTAGCACTGTTCCGCGAGTGTCTTAACCTTGGCAATTTGTTAACATGTCAAGGCTACTGCCGTATTTTACCTACATTTTTAACGAATCAGTCGCAACCAGCAGAATAACCAATAAATAGTAATTTGTTTCCTTTTTAAAATATAACGATTTAGTTATATTAAATATTTTTGATGCATTATTTTGTTGATATCCTCTTTATATACTTTAAACAGTTTTTATTAAATTATCCATATAAAAATGTTATACACAAGCCCACAGTCTATATATACAATCTTGCGTCTATAGTCATATTAGGTAAACATCCTTATTGTTAAAATTAACAAAAAATAAACAAATTTACTCGGTACTTTTATCCATCATTAAAATAAATTTTGGTCTACAGTTTAATATTCGGTGCTACGGAGTGTACTACGCTCCAATGTGCAGTAGACCTCTGTAGCATACTACGCCTCAATGCGTGCTAGCGTAGCGCTCTTTGCTACATAAACGCAGAGGTAGTTATTTTTCAAAATACCAAATATTACTGCTAATGAATTTGAGAAGAAAAAAATGATACCAATTTTATAACCTAGTATATTTTAAGCTATTTAAAATGTTACAAGAAATATTAGTAAAAGGGTGGTGAAAATATGACACAAAAGAATATTAATCGTGTAGGATGACATAAGGGATAATCCATTACGAAGTCCTTCATATTGTATAAAGGTTTCTTTAAACTCATAATACATTAAATAAATAAAAATGTATACGTTAATTTTTAACCCAGAAAGCTTTTATATCTTGTCTCTTTTTAATATTCAAAACACTTTTAATGTCAACTTAATTATTGTTTGTGACAAGTTAAGTATACGTAACATATCTAAGGTCGAACATAATAGTACATCAGTGCACAATAGAAAGATAAAAATACGAGAAAACTTAATTCAAACTATGCTTTAAGCAGACCAATATTGTTTTAGACCGCTGGTACATTTTAATTTGAGGTCAATTAACAGTAAAGATACTTGATACTACTGTTACGAGAGTTTATTTAGTAATATTTAAATGATTTTATTATTTGCTTTGATTTGCAAAGGAGCTTGTTTTGAATTTGCCTCCGTGATCGGGTGAGTGTAACGAAGCGTGGAAATTGTAAGCTCAATGAACCAGCACTCAATTTATCCGGAGTAAATAAAAAAATATTTATGAGATACAAATATAAATCACGTTAAGCTTAATATAGACGTAACTAAAATAGTTTTTCAGTTTAAACGTTTTATTAAATAACCAGTAGCACAATGTTTTATTTGTGATATTAACTTGGATTAACAGTTAAATTATTAAGGGTAGAATTATAACATGATCCTCTGAAGAAAAATAACAAAGATAACAAACGAAATTTGAATCTTAATTGATATCTGAAGACTCGGTTTGATCTGTGCTTCAGTTCTTATCGAGGATTATTATTTTTAATTACTTCGAGAAATCAAGAAGAATAATTATCAATCTACGAGTAACCATATTAAAAATGTAGATTTTTCTGGTTATAATTTAGTGGAGAAGTCGCCTAAGAATGATTTATAGTTAAATGTATTACGAGTAACGATATTAAAAATAGATTCTTCTGGTTACAATTTAGTGGAGAAGTCACCTAAGATTTATAATTAAGTGTAAAACAAAGAGTAGATTTACAAGTAATACAGTCTTGAATAAACTAAGATAAAAATGGATTACAATCAGCAAACAATTGAATAATTTTATAACCGTAGTCCTGAATAACATACCATAGAGGTTCTGTTACTGAGATCGTGAATGTAAATATTTGAGGAAGTAAAATGATCCTTATTTCATTACCTAGTATAATGTCAACTGAATAAGAAATGTAATGTATTTCTAAGTGGAAATTTTATTTGTATTTAGCGCAACGACGTAGCTAAGTACACTCGGTCTGTGATCCCGCGGCAAACAAACAGGGAATGAAGCAGTCCATTAGCGTGGACTCCTTCGTGCTGAAAACACGTTGCAATTTTAAATAATATTTACAACTTGCCTTGCTGAAAATTTATTTGTGAAAGTCTTTTACATTTTATATTTCTACCTCAGTTCTTGTGTCTCATTATTATTTTCTACCTAATTTTTTTTATTTCTATATTTAATTTATTTATCATCTATTTATTGCCAGTATACGATGAAAATATGTGAAAACAATTGTAGTTAATATCTTTCGGAATCTGAACAAAGACGTCAAAGATGGCGGTATTGGTAAATTACGCAATAAATGAACGGGAAATTATATCACTATGATTTGATGAAATTAAGAAAAGGAAAGAGATGGGAACAACGAGATTCCCTGGTTTCGGAACCAAAAAAGATGTAGCGTAACAGTGATGAAATTCGCTAGGAAGTAACTAGGAACGGATGATTAAAATCGCCACGTCTTGGAAATAGAATTGTGTTGGGATCGAACAACGGGCCTAAACTATATGATGAGGAATAGATCCTCGGAACGGATACTTCCGGGACTTACCTGAGATAGTTGCGTTTTGGACGGAAACGTGGTCCTGCGATACGCGTAGCTGTTTTCACATCCTTTCGATACTTGGCACTTTGATCACTTAACATTTCACTTAGTCAATTATCTCTTGTGGTCCGTTTACTTTGAATATTGGTGACAAACTCCCCTTACGAAGCATCAAATGCATGTGTCAACGCTTCACTCTAAGTTTGAATTTCGAACCAAAACTTCCCAAAAGACAAAGAAAGAGCGGAGAACGTTAAAAAAGAAAAAGGATCAAAGGAGGTCGGTTATAACGATAAATAAGAGGAACAAGCGTTTATGCGGTGACTATAGAATAAATATCTATACTAGTGTTATAAAGAGATTTGTATTTTGAATGTATTGGAACAACACAAAAACTACTGGTCTGATTTAAATAATCTCTCACCATTAAAAAACTACGTTATCAGTGACGCTTTACTTTAAGGTAAAAACCTTATTAATTTCACATGGGTGAAGTCGGGACCAAAAGCTAGTACAAAATATTACTAGTCTGCGTTTATCTCAATTTCTTATATTATATCAAAACATTGCATGAAGTTAAAAAAAAGATAATACTTGTACTGGTTCATTTATGTATAGTCACGTCCCAGACTCGGAAGCTCTCCAGACGAAAGAGAAATAAATAGACCCTCTTACCTTACAATATAGCTATACACTATTTAACTTTTAATTAGCCTGTACCTACCTACTTATTTATATTTTTATGAAGTATTTTTTCACATTAAACAGACTACAAAGTCTTGCCCATGGAAGTAATGTCAGTTACATAGTAATAAAATATTGATTGAGTCTCGGCTTCATATAATACGCTGACAAAATTGATAGTTGTTACCTATCTTTATGAAAAGTAAAGCGTTGTGGCATGTTTCCTTTAAATGTAAATTATATCAATCATTTGCTTGTTGTGCTGCTGCCCAGTTTTCTTAAATAGTCTCATCTATTGTAAATTTCTTACAGTAAATGTCGTTTAATGATCAATTAACCACCTCGAGTGCGTCAGTTAAATGTCGTTTTATAATAAAAGAAAATTTAAACGTAATATATTGTACCAAGCGAATTAATTAATTTCTTTCAACCATGATTACCTAAAAGAACTGAATTATTAAAATCTTTGCGTACACAATAATACAATGTTTAATTTAATGTTTGTAATTTAACGTTACAGAAAAACAGACTGTATTAAAAACCAAATCGACTTAATAAATCGACTGAATTGTCTATGGTTAGTACGCCGGCTGGCTGTCAAAACGGTTTAATTTCTTGCCACTAGTGGCGCTGGTTGCAAAAGTCTTCTATGACAATCGCAAGCTTCACACCGACGCGTCATCTACGTCGGATTTTATTAGTTTTGTAATTTTATGTGATTAAGAAAATTGTGATAAGTGTAATTTTTATACACATCTTGGTGATAATACTAGTATTAAGATTTGTTATGTTATTGTTGCACGAGGGATTACAAAACGAGGTAAGAAAGAAGCTGTGAGTGCGGCAATGGAATTTGTTTGGGATTTGCGAGATCGATAACCCGGTCGGCTAGCCATGAGGCGCGACGCTGAGGTTATGTCGCGAGTCGCGAGCTAGTAGTCGAGTTCAAGTAACGGTCCACAAGCCGGAGCGGCCGACTCGCATTACAGCCGCACAATCCGGTCGGACCTGGGACCAGTTAGATTAATTTAGTATCTAGATCCTCATTTGCCGCCCTCATTCCGTTGCGCTTACCACCAATAGCATCTGTAAATAAATAATCGGTAATTAGTCTCGCTTAATAAGTCAGGAAGTCCCATGATCCCTCACCACCTATAGAACGCTCGAAACCTTTGAATTTTCCTTTGAGATATGCGCCTGTTTCCAGCTTACCCTGCCTGCAGTGCGTGCCAAGAGCCCCGAGTCCCAGCCATTAGATTGAGTGGAGTGTTCCCCGCCCACACGTAGCCCCGTACGCCGCAAAAATTCCGCGCGATACAACGGACTCCTCCTCCAGCATGGAACTGGAGAAAGCCCCCACGCCTCTCCACGAGGAAGACTCCAAAATCACCCTCACTATCAGACTGATTATGCAGGGGAAGGTAAGATAAGGGCACTTACATTTTTTTTAAATAAAAACATTGGCACTTTTAAAACTTGTACTTTGTACTTGTTACTTATACTTGTTTATCTGTGAAAGTGTACACTTTACCTTCTTCTAATTTCCAACAATGTAGTTATCACACTATTGCTTTCAATTTAATTTATACCCTTGTAGATTATTCAAGATTTTTTTTATTAATATGCTTGTGTCTGTAATGTTCAATTACCGCTATCCAATAGTTTGATAGCTAAATTATTATTATCAATTCCATATAGGAAAGCATGTCACTTGAGATACCCCTACATTTAATAATGCTCGGAATTAAATAAAAGTTAATTCTTTACACTGAACTTGAAATTCATGTTCATACATATCAATAATATGGGGATTTGTTCAATTTTCCTTTTATCGGAGATGTTTATTGTTCTTAAATTATGTTTCACAAGCATTAAAATGTAATTACAATCTTGCTAACTGTAATACACTACTGAATTTATGTTTTAATACAATTATATTAATTAAAATTATATAATTGAAATTACACATAATGACTGCTAAAAAAATTTATGTTGCACTTTTTTGTAATTACCTTTGTAAAATCAATATGTGGTTTATTTATCTTAATGAAATTGTTACTTGGACCTGAATAGCTGGTACCAACATTTATGTTACCTGAACTTAACTTAATTACTCTGTTCCATGAACGAGTTAAACAATAAAAAAATACCCTATTTTAATATAACACAGCATTTTAATCTTGTTAAGAAACACTTGTATGTCTGCTAACACAAGATCTTGTTTACTTATTACTCATGTGTGCTTAGTGACTAGGCTTTACAAGACAATATGAAGCGTTAACTTCAACAAAATAATGTATAACTCTTAAATATTTATTATTAGTGTACAATGTACAATTTTAAACATAGGTAACTGATTTAGAACAGCCACATATTTAGTTTGCACCGATGTGAGACATATTGATGCTAACATGTACCTATGTATCAAGGTACCTACTTTTAATTGGCTGTAATCCAATACAAAATATATTTGGCATGATGCCAAATATCAGCACTCTGCTTGTTCATCAAACTTGTCCATTTGTCTCTTTTTCTAATTGAAATAATCCATGTTATTCACAGTAAGGGCTTTTGTTCGCTAACATTACTTATTGTTTTTCATCCAGCTGTTCCATTAAATTTATATGTCTTTTATATAAATCCATCCAAAGTAAAATGAGATCAGAGATGTGTTTTTTTATTATACAGGTTGATAAACACACTAATAAAAGAAATCACTGCTTTGTTTCACAGAACCTTATCACTGTGTTCATTTTTAAATGATTACAATAATTACTTTAAGCATAAAAAAGTTATAAATGCATTTTAAATTTAGATAAGGTGTTCAAATTAATTCCATCAACTCATAAGACTTTGTTCATATCTTGCATGTTTATGTTGCATATCTAAATATCCAAACAATTAAATATTAACACTAAAACTATTGTACTTGGTGTTAGCTGCATGTACATTGCTTGCATACTGTGGGAGTCAATGTGCAGTGTTGCCAGCAACAAACTGAATGCAGCTACTCTAAAACTGTCTCTATGCATCCCCGCTGCATCTATTATTGCAGCAAAGAATTGCTCGATGCTCAGTCTATTATTGGCCAGCAGACAGGAAATCTTTTGTACAATAAATCTAAACGCGACTGCATTAATTATACTGCCACTTGTTGCACAATACTTGCCAATGGTGCTGTTTTTGCGCCTGAGTTATTTTAAACAACAGTACTTGATGTTTCTAAGATACTTGTAAATACTAATCAATTTGTTTTCTTTTCCGCAGGAAGTTGGCAGTATTATAGGCAAAAAGGGAGAAATTGTGAAGAGATTTAGAGAAGAGGTATATATTTTATATGGTGCTCCATACTCCATAATATAATATTCTTTTTACAATAAAAATGTAAATAAATCAATGAAAACATTTATATTTGATAATATTGCAATGCAATCCTTCGGTTTTGAGTCTCTTTAAAAACTTAATTGACCAAAACTGTTTGTAACTAGCCAGTCATTAAATTATTACAAAAGAAAACTCACCTGTATATTAATTCAGTGTATTTTTTGTTATTTTTCAGTCTGGAGCTAAAATAAACATATCTGATGGATCATGCCCGGAGCGAATTGTTACAGTCACAGGCAACACAAGTGCTATATTCAAAGCCTTCACACTTATCTGCAAAAAGTTTGAAGAGGTTAGTAATTTAAAAAAAAAGCACAAAACATGCCCCTTACATCTCAATTGCATAAAAATATATCTAGTTAATTTTCAATTAACTCGAGAAAAAAAATTATATAGTATGTACAGTACTGACTCTTCCTGATCTTAGTATACGTAAAAAAAAATCTTAGTAGACACTAAGGCTACTAAGATTTTTTTTTATTCCGCGCTAACGAAGTCGAGGGTAAAAACTAGTTAAGTTTAAAATGTTTTAAGTTAAAATATTTTTAACGTATTTGATAAATGTGTCATTTTCACAAAGTAATAAGGCACCGCAAACACTAGGTACCAGCAATCTATTTCTTCAGATAAAATCCCTGAACTGCGAAGGAAATAGCTTTGCATGTAATTTAAATTTCAAATTTGGCGCGAACGTAATCGCGAGCAATTTCTTTTCCGCTTTCGTAATCAATGTGTGGACTTACTGTTTTAAATCAATCCGGCATAAATAGCTGCATAGTACACATTCTGCGCTACTTCTAGTCTACAATATTGTAATGTAATGCATATATGTATTAAATATTTTACATATTTAAATGAAAATCTCCATGAACGGTTTACATAAATTTGATAAATGAAACGTAGCAACTAAATTATTGAATTGTTTCTTCAATAAGGCTAATAATATCCAAGATTACTTCAAACTACTATTTGCTCTGGACTTCGTCTACGTATTCACGTAAAAAGTAGCAGATTTTCAAAATTCTTTCAACGTTAAGGTAGTGTTCTATCTGTGAGTAATATAGGCCATATTTTTTTAGTATCTTTCAATTTCACGCGCACATTCAACCTCTAGTAATAAATAAAACCATGTTTATTTATTTATTAACAGTATTTTTTCTCACAATCTTCATTCATTTGTTTCACTTTTTCGTGTAAAAGGCGCCGTATCGTGCCACTGGCCAGTTGGACCTCTTTGGCATAACCTCTCCCGTGCTACGAAAAAGGTTCGATGGACGTTATACAGTGGCAAGATACGTATTAAGATAGTTATAGTGGTGAGAGCAAGGTGTGAGTGTTGTGGTGTCGGCAGTGGTGCTCGCAGTTCAACGAGGGCGGCGGCGGCGGCTCGCGCGCGCCCATCACGCTGCGGCTCATCGTGCCCGCCTCGCAGTGCGGCTCGCTCATCGGCAAGGGAGGCTCCAAGATCAAAGAGATACGTGACGTCACAGGAGCTAATATACAGGTACTTACTACATCGATATCTTTAAAGTTGATAAAAATTGAGTGTCTGTAATCTCGAAAAAAAATCAGATTTTGCGACGATGATTTGACTTACTGAAAACGTAATTGGAAAAGACCTTTGTCTGTCCGTATCGGAGATTTCGGACACTATTCCGTGTATCTCCGAAAAGCCTGGTCCGATGTTGACGGAACTTTTACTGGAGGGTAGCTGACAGGGTCGGGCATATTATAGGCTGCTTTACTTTAATTTTGCGCTTTGTAATTGGTGCGGGAATAATTTGGATATCTTATTTTTTTTTAATTTCAATATTACCTTTGTCAACAGGTAGCGAGTGAAATGTTGCCGAACTCGACAGAGCGAGCTGTGACTATCAGTGGAACTTGCGATGCGATCACACAGTGCATTTATCACATCTGCTGTGTTATGCTAGAGGTATGTGTCTATTTTAGTACATTTATATGTATAAGTCCAATCTAGTTAAAAAAAATCTTTCTATAATCTGACCATGGTTTCTTACTATCTTAGACCTGGTTTGATAATGTTGCTATCCTGTATATCGTCTTACAGAAAAAACAGGGATAGTAATAGTTTTGTAATCAAAGGTCAGGGCATGTGAAATTCATATATCTTTTTATTCCTTACTGCGATTTTTTTAAAGAACATTATCGTACAAATATTACAAAAGCGAAAGGCTGGATGGACGGCTTATACTATATATCTACAAAATAGTTAACAGATCACTATGAAATTTGATACAGACGTAAAACAATCCGAAATAATACAAAAGTAACTTCAATTTTTTTTTAAATCCGCACAGACGAGGTTACAGACAAAGACTAGTAATAAAAGTTTTTTAGTTATTCATAAATAAACTAGCTTGCGCCCGCGACGCCGTCCGCGTGGAATTAATACAAAACTGAGTAGTCTATGTGTTCTCCTGGGCTATCCTCTACATCTATGGCAAATTTTGATCGAAATCCGTTGAGTCGTTTAGGGTATACACTCTAACGAACATCCATCCATCTAAACTTTCGCATTATATCTATAATATTTGTATGATTATTTGTTAAAATGTCTTTTTCATGGTATTCCAGAGTCCGCCGAAAGGTGCAACTATCCCGTACCGGCCGAAGCCGAACGTGGCGGGCCCCGTGATCCTGGCGGGCGGGCAGGCCTACACCATACAGGGCAACTACGCCGTGCCCGCGCAGGACGTGAGTACACGCACTCGCCGCACACAGGCACACACACGACATACACATACACACAAATACAATAAATATGACTAAGAAAAAAATATTGGTTTTTAATATTGGTAGATTTTTGTTAAACATACTTCATACTAATATTACAAATGCGAAAGTTTAGATGGATGGATGTTTGTTAAAGTTTGTAGCCTAAACAGCTGAACGGATCTGAATGAAATTTTGCATAGATCTAGAGCATAGTCTGGACGAACATATAGGCTACATACTTTTTTTTTTAATTCCTCGCGGAGGGTGTCGCTGGCGGAAGCTAGTTTACTAATATTTCTATTAACCATTCAAACTAAGCTCTAGATATGGCTTACTATAATCAAATGGCGGGATTCGAACCCTCGACCGCAAGATCGGTAGTCCGTACTTCAAACTACTAGGCTATTGGCGCTTAAAGTTACTTCTCTTATGGCCTAACACTGAAACGAATCCTAAATACTTCGCAACGTCGGAAGGACGCCACAATTTGACGTTTATATGTGGCCTTATTTAAAACGTAACATATTTAAAGACGTATCAGTATTCGGCCGTTAATAATAAAAAATAAGAATAAAGTCATATCTGTTAGAGATCTCATTGGAAATGTAACTATTTTCGTCGCATATTTGAGTTCTGTGTATTTACGCCATAATTAAGTTGTCCCTTCGTTGAATTTTCAAGACCTCTGAGTGGCATTTAAATATAATTGTATCAAGTGCATTTAATTCATTTTTCAGAGGTATAAAAGTGTACCAAGATTTTGTTTTAGTTAGTCATTTTGAACGAAATGAGCTTAGAGATTTTTATTTTAGGATATAAGATGGTTTTTTGTTTTGTTTTGTTACCTTAATAATTTGAATAAAATGTATGTTACGAATATTTAGTTTTATTGGTATTTAGGATTTTTTTTTAAATTACTGTGCAATGCACATTTATTTGTTGTCTAAAATGACGCTATGTTAAAGTAATTTTTATCACCGCTATTTAAAAGTAATAAATTGGTTTGTCTTTTTTAAATCTAATTTACATAATATAATAATAATCGTTGTATTATTATAACAATAATCATTTAATTTATCAAAGAGTATTGCGTCGAGAGGCCATTTCGCAATCTCATTATATTTGCAAAGAAATAATACGCAAGTTGAAACATGAACGTAATTAACGTTTATGAGTGTTTTTATTTTATTAATTACGTCTTTTTAGTAAACTTAAAGCGAATATCTTTTTTATTCAAAGAAGATGATTACAACGATAACATGCATTATAAGATTTATTGTAAACGTTAATTGCCGCAGTTGCGTACAGATATAATGTTTTATAATATGTTTTAGTATTTATAGGTTATATGTTATTTATCGATTACTTGTATATTACAGACACTTAAACCACTGAATTATAAAAATATTAAAATCTACTACTAATAAGTAACAAGTTAATACTAAGTTTTAAAAGCACATGCAACACTCTACAACACATAAAGTACAAGTTGGATGAGGTCCACTCTTCCACTGCCTTTTTCTCTTTCGTTTTTATGGGATTAGAGTGAAATAGGGATACGTTAACAGCGCTCTTATACGTAACAGTAGGTTTCGAGTGCTGTGATACTATTGTCTAAAGACAGACGTAAGTGCAGTGTAATGGTTGCACTTATAATATTGCTGGGTGCGGTGTGCAGGCGGTGTGCGCACCGATGTTCCCCCTGGTCGAGGTGAAGCCGCCCCTCGTGGGCGCGCTGCCGCCCCACCACCTGCTACCGCCGCTACACGAACACCACCTTGTGAGTCCGACCGCTCCACAGGCTGCCTCATAGAGACTCCCCTCTCTCCACTCTGTCCACTCTAGTGCTCGGTATACTCTGTCCATCTGAAACAGCCCACCTTCTCCGATACTTGGTTCTGTATGACTACGCCCAACCCATTCCACTTGTCAGTTAATTGTCAATGATACTCTTATACCCTAATCTTGGCTACTTGGTCTTACTCCCCCTATGAAAGTACATAGTACTACTCTATCCATGATTGTCTTATAGAATGTCCTCCCCTCCACTAATCAGTAATCTACCCACGTGACAATTGTAGACTTCCCCTTTGATTCTCAGTTTTATACTCCCATGAATCCTCAAACTTTAACTACTCAGTTTTTTAGTATCTATCAAACGTAGAGCCCTAATGTGCCCTCCGGTCTTACTCTAACCATAAGTATAATCTCATCAAGTATTTAGTTTCAATTTGACTTCTAAATTACTCCTCAGCCTACCATATAGTACGTTAATATGTTAATCATGTCTAGAATCCTACAATTTGGTGTAAGATATGTGCAAGCAAATGTTTTCTTTAAATTCTCAAAGTCCAAACCTCCCGCAGTAATAAAATTTCCGTAGCTTAAGAATGAAACTTTAGACGTGTTTCCGAGTGTTATTTGACAAAAATTATTGTTAAATACCAGTTATGATGTTAAGCAGGCTCCAACACTTGCAATTTGAATATACATATGATAAAAAAAAAGTTACATATACAAAAAGACTTTTTAAACTATTGGTGCATGAACAACGTCCATTCAATAAAAATTATCAAAGATATAAAATCCCGAATATAAAACCGTAAATTTTCTAGCCAACATGTTTGAAGCCAACTTAACGAACGGTCATATGAATCAGATTATTCCCTACATATTTACTATTGATATCTCTATGAGGTTGCTTGGTAAAGAGTGTTATTATGTGATTGGTGCTGCCCCGGCTCCCTTGAAAATGGTTTGGATGTGTGGTGTCGTACCCTTACGTAGCAGTTACAGTTTATAAACATTTAGTACTTAGATACCCCAGCAGTATGGAATGTATTGGAATTTAATTTTCTTTGCGCTGTTTATACCCCTGTGCTTATAAGCCCCCCTGTACAGTAAACCCCCGACATTTATGCACTTAATTCCCCGGTGGTACCCCTAATCGATGTCCTATTTATGATATATGTAGATAGTCTCCCCTTATTAATTTCAGCACATACGACCGTGTACTATAGTCGAAACATGTAGTCAAAAACACATCGAGCTTTATCTGTTTGTTTTCTGGCATCGCCGAGATATCGAAGCTTTTACGTTTTTTAAATTCACCGTAACTATGTTATAAAGTAAAAAGTTTTTATATCAAATATTCCTACAAATGCACCTTTCCTTATTTTGCCTTTACCTCGCCTCTTCCGATAATTTATTTGTTTACCTACGATTATATCGTTCGATTAACATTAAAGTCGCATGTCGGGACCGTATTAAAATGACGTTTATATAAATACGGGTTTGTAAATTTTTTGCCGATTCCTAACGATGTATTGGATTTGGGCAGCATCATTCAATACTCACAAAGTGGTCGGAACACGGTTTTAGTGCAGTGCTGAGAAAATTCGCAACTCCATGTCATTTTGTTCCATTCTACGATCGAGAACAGAAAATACTTCGAGTATGTTTAATTCAAAAATTGTGTACCTAGTTACCCCCCAGGATTTGCATGTGAATCTGAATTAACCATACTTTGATTTTTTGCGAATTTTCTCAGAGCAATGTAGTGATTTCATAATCTACTTTGTACCCAGGTTACCCTACCCAGCGATCCCTTCCCGGCAATGTCATTGAAGACGAAAACAAGCAGCTGGAGCTTATAATGTTCTGAATGCATTTATTTTGGCAACATGTTTTTCAGATTGTTACAGAGAACAATCTGTTACATTAATTTTATAAGAATACGATATATTTGTTCTAGTGCGTCGGGGAGTATTGTAAAATCAAGAAGGAAAATAAAAACGACGTATAAAACTAGAATTTTTAATTTCATAAAATAATGTAAACCCCAATCAGTACGAGCCAAAAAGGGTTTAATTAAATACTTGCTTAAGAAGAGAACAGTGAATTAATTTTTATATTTTCGTACTGGGTATTCGTATTTGGGTTTCTCGTGTAATTCTTTTTATTCAATGATTTTACAATACCCAGCTGGTGCTTTGGCAAAATTAGTAAATTATTTACTAATGCCATCGTGTCTGTATATAGATCGGGGGGCTAGCTAAATCACCGTTAGCTGGACTTGCAGCACTAGGTCTAGGCGGTCTGGGACCTTCTAACACTAGTGGATTGAATCCGGCAGGTAAATACAATGTTTTTTCTTGTCATCTCTATTGTTTCTCTACATTAAGATAAAAATATTCTACTCCAAGTTGAAATAGTTTTTCCATTTGTAATACTGTTGCCAACAATATAATTCATTTTTAGAAACATCTTCGTAACACTTGTTATGATTAATTAACTATAATACTGAAAAAATGTTTTAATCTGAGTGTACAATTATATGTTAATTACAATGGTAATATGTAAAGTAGTAATAAATTTCAACTTTTAATGTCTTATTTCATAGCATGTTATTCAATATTTCTTTAAATTACTAAACAATAAGTAAAATAATCTTTTTGGTGACAACAAAAACGCATTACTAAGGTTATCGTACAATTTTGTTATGAGGGAGGTAAATGGTATTATCTATAATTCTTTAATAATGTTATTTGTGGTATATTCCAGCATTAGCCGCTCTGGCGGGGTCCCAGCTGCGCACGGCCAACCAGGGCCGCAACCAGCCCGCAACTAACCAGCAGTCGCACGAGATGACTGTGCCTAACGAACTCATCGGCTGCATTATTGGCAAGGTATGGTAGTGTTTTTTCAATTGCAATTTAAACAAAAAAGATTTTCAACCATAGTGCATCACGCTCTAACTTCCGTACAGGCTTATTCCCGGGCAATGTCCACTTGTATGTATACTTTGTAATAGCACAATCGCGGAAATCCGCGGCGTTTCACTTAGGAAATATTGGTTGTTAAACGCCACGAGGCAAACTGCCTCTACGAATAACTAATTAGGTAGTAATGAGTGGTGAAAACGAAGAGATAATAAAACAAATTAACTCCGAAGCTTATATAGGAATATGATATCCGTGGAGTTGGAGACATCGGTTTTATTTTTAATTTAATATTATTAAATAGTGAATTTTCAAATATTTCCTTCAACTATTCCGATTAAGCCCTAGGCTTGTGCTAGAGGGGCGGGATTCGAACATTCGACTGCAAGCTCGATAGTCCGTTCCCCAAACCTAGGCTATTGTCGCTTATAAAATGTATATTGTAGGGCGGTACCAAGATAGCCGAGATCCGTCAGATCTCCGGCGCGATGATCCGGATATCAAACTGCGAGGAGCGCGAGGGCGGCAGCACGGACCGCACCATCACCATCACCGGCAACCCCGACTCGGTGGCGCTCGCGCAGTACCTCATCAACATGAGGTCAGTCGAACTCTGTCTCTCTCACTCACGGCACATTCCAGCTTTCCATCCGAAAGTCCAAACTTGTATAGCATCCTTGTGATCTTCCTTTGAATTGTCTTACCTTTTTGGGCCGCGTCGTATCATGTTTAACCTATGATGATTTGCCTTTTAGTTTCCTTTAGTTTGATTTGTAAGTGTTATGAACATTATTTACTAAATTTTTGTAGTAATAATTAACTGTTCAACTTCAATTTGTATATTAAGGCGAGGGTTTCTATTTGTGTTTTATGATTTAATTATACATTTCCGTGCGCGATTTAATGTGAAATTTAGCTACGAGAATTAGTGTAGTGCTTATTTTAATTTTACATTTTATACAAACAGTCCTTTTCCCATAAGTGATTAGATGTATACACACATTCACAACAGTTTCAAGTTTTGCTTTTAACGCGATCATATGTTTAGTATATTTGGAAAACCTCGTCTTAAAAGTTTTGTTTCCTGATGTTTAAGGCGAAATTATCATAGTACCATTTCATCCGAAATAGAAACTCATTTGCCTTGAAATAAAAAAGTAGCATCGACGCGGCCCTCGTTGCCGCCTGGCCCTTTACAACAATCCAGTCCCGCTCCCGCAGTGTGGAGCTCCAGAAGGCGAACCTCGAGAGTAGCACTTCGGGGGGCTCGACGGCTTCTACGAACAACCCCTTGGCCTCCGCCATCCCTCTCGCGCAACTCCTCACCAAGACCGGCGCCCTCGGAGCCCTAAATTCCCTCTCCGCCCTCGGCGGCCTCACTGACCTCCTCAGCGGCAGCAGCTCGCAGCCCGTGCAGACCACCGGCGTGCACCGCAACCACAAGAGCTTCACCCAGCGCCGCCAGGACGACGACTCGCCCTCCAAGTCCTCCAAGGAGCGGAATAAATATACTCCCTACTAACTCCCGCTCTCGACTGACGTCATCCAAAGAACGGCGACCGCCGCACGGCGTGTCCTCGCTTTTACTTGGTACATTTAGTTTTGTAAGAAATATTATTTAAGTTAAAATCAGTTATTTGTGACCAACGTAAAATCACTATGAATCTTTTTTGTTTGTAAGGACCGTTTGTATAGTTTGTATTGCATCTTACGAACAATATTTATTACGTACTACAATATTACAATATTTGTCACTTTAGGTCGTATGTCGTGACGCATACAGTTCGATATAGTTCACAGTAAAATATATACGTTTTTATCATTTTTATACACATTGTTTTTGACGAATTATAAAGAAAAATAAATTATATGGAACTCTGTAAATCATAGTGCAGTATGTGATCTCGGCGAGCCGCGTCTGTTATGTGCTAAAATTGGAACTAAATCTATTTCATATTTTTGTACATAGCACATACAATGTGAATTATGTATTATGATAATTAAATCAAAAGATTTTTTTATAAAAGACTAGTTAAATTGTTTTGGTAAGAACGAAAGTGCAAAATCAAAACTATATACTTATGTCAATGAGTAGAAAATGCTTCTAATTTTTTTTTGTGCTTACAGTTTGTTTCCATTGTGACTTCAATAATGTGCGTTCGGTCGACTAGTTGAATTTTCTTTATATTAAAAACAGTTAAATGAAATTGTAATTAATGAAATCTCACATGAAATATTAAACTTGTTGCAATTAGTCCAATCGTAAGGAATTATTGTGTGTTTGTATAGCAAAAGGAAAAATTCAAAAGTCTACTTTTAAAATATAGGTAAAGTTACTTCGAATTTGTTACAGAAATATTAAAATGCACTAGTTAAATGTTCTCAATCTCTTATATTCAAACACAGTTTTACATAGATAGTAATCGTTTTATCACTATTTTAAAATCATTTGTTAATTTCACACAATTCTTCCCTTTTCTGTAATAAAGCACCAATATTAATATGTATATATACATTTTTGAAATTGTAAGTTTCATTGATTAATGAAGATCTTTTGATACAATGTTTTCTGTTTGATTCTGAGTTATATTTCGTTTTAATTTCAGGGAATCTTATACTATCTAGGGATCGTGACAATAGTAGTAAATACATAGAAGCTTAATGGCTAGAAACGAAGGCAGATAGCTTTGCGATAATATAATAAGACTATTGAAAAAACAGGGTGTTTAACGCAGGCATCAAACTATACTTGAATTTTGACAAGAAAATCAATTATCTTAACATTTATGCAATACGCAAAGCGTAATAATTTTATTTACAAATGCAATTATTTTATTATAATTTTATTAATAAGTATTATTTGCTCAGTCTATCACGAATGTTTGCGAGAATGTGTCGTAACATGTACAAAAATTTGTCGATAACGTTACGAAAACGTTTACACGAATTTTCGTGATAATCCCTCAGATAATGTTCATCTCATACTTAATAGTTAAGTGTCATTACAAATGCCCGCCGTCGTATTTTCTTTAAGAAATAAAGGAATATACCAATAAATGCTATCGTTTACAAAAATCTTACGTTACAAATAAATAAAAATGTACAATTTTGCCTAATCGTTGATGATTGGTTTTAGAAAAACCGACAAAATAAGAAAGTATGGTTTGATGCCACAACTGAGAGTTAGCTCTGTGTATTTTTAAAATGGGAGATATAGAAGCATTTGTATGGGTAGGTTTATGTTAGTATTACAAAAAAAAGACGAAAATTACTTTGAAATGTATGTTATCATTTTATTCGAGTGATGGAATACGTTTGTAAGATCGTGTGGTTAGATTTCATTTTGCGCGTTGCGCTGCACTGGACTAGTTTTGAAGTTTGACCATTTCTCTTAAAGGTTTGTTTAAGATAGATGTAGATCGGAATGTTTTATATTTATATCTTCGTATGTTAAGGTATTATTAATTAGTAATAGCAAGCCATCTAGATTCTTAGCAGTGGCGATGTTAAGCAAATATCACCAGTCATAATCTGCCACACAATCACATGAAGGGTTCAGTAAGCAGTGTTCTGTACAGAGCACGCGGCAACCCTCAGGGAAATCGCAGTATAGGCTATTGCCTAAGTGATATGTTATAACTTAGTGTGAACTTGAAAATCGAGGTCCAATTCAAACGTTTTTAAAGTTAGATGTAGTCCCGATCGGGAAGACGCGTTATTTAGCCGCCGATGTTTTATTTGTAAAAAAATCATGTTAATTTTATGATAATAGCCATTTTCATCATATCTTTTCAGGTATCGTATTACTCGCTAGTATCATTAAGTGAAAGTATTGTTTTAAGTAAATACTTAATAAAATAATAAGAGTAAGTGTGCGTTTCATTGATGTCCGACGTGTAATATTTTGTATGTGTAAAGTACAGGTTAATATTATTTTAACGCTAAATCTCCAAGAACCCACGCCATATTCCTGTAGACCAAAACATTCCCGTGACACTGCCGTCCCCGCCTCGCCGGGCGCTCCATCGAGTACCTCACCCTCCAGACAACCGGATCACCCAATCCCGGTAAGATGTCTCCTTTACATTTTTATTTTGTTTCCTAGATTATCCACCACATTGGGACATTTGTAACAAATCGCTGAAATTATAATTTGTCACGACCTATTGATCACATTCCTTGCGTCTCCGATTCCATTACCCGGTGATTGTTAATATCTAAATGCATATAAATGTTGCACGAATAAATGTTCGATAATCTCATAATGTTTGTGTACGTTTCAGGATCACAATGGAGACTGCGGGTCTGCCGCTGCCCGGGTACCACTACATCGCCCCGAACCACATCGTGAAGGCGCCGATCCATTGAATGGGGCTCCGCGGGCCGGCCCCCCGCGCCCCGCACTGCGCCCTCGCCTACCCGGCGCCCTACGGGAGTCCGGCTCCGTTCTACTATTACAAGTGAAAGGCCACTGAAGAAAAGGGGGAAAGCGATTGGCAAATAACTGAACATGTATGTTTACATTTGTTACGAGTTTATAAGTATTTTAGATATTCTTATATTTATTCTCCACTATTTAAATAAATAAAGTGAGAGGAGTCGAGAGTCGATCGCGCACTCCATGTCGTGGGTGGTGATATAATTTGTAATGTGAAGATTTTAGGAACGTTTAAAACTAAGAATGAAGATTTAAAGTGACTGACGTTTTAAAAAATAATTTTGATCAGTCCGTGAACAGTGAACGCCATAGAGTGATTGAATCTCATCAGCGGTAGGGCGGACGGTCTCTTTTGTTCGTTCTACCCTCGTTCACTGTTCATAGATTAAAGATAACGACATCGGGTGTTAGCTGAGCTGTTCGAATTTACTATGAATTTAAGCGGTCGATTGATTCAATTATCCGTTGTAATTATTTTTTATCATGTAAAGATCGGTACGGAGATCGAGAGACGAATGGGAACGTTCGAGATAATTTTTGTAGATCGACGACGGTGTAAATTAGGCGTAGGGGACTGTCGAGCGAGCTCGGATACGCTGACGTAGCGTTAGTATTAGATTAGCGAACAGAGTGAGAGGGTTAAAGACAATATTTGTAAATAAATATGGTAATTACCTGGAAACGTTAGGTATTACAGTAAGCAGTCTTATGCACTAGCCGGTTAGTGGCGGGCGGCTCGCGACTAGAACATTATTCCAAGCACATCAATACAAAAGTTAAGCATATCAAGACATTGCATCACATCCGTAGCGCGGCCGCCCGCGCGGGCTCGGCTCGGCGACAACGCGGCGCTCAGTGCATAGGGCAACTAGCAGCGCGGCGCGGCAACGGCGCGCGACTGCACGAAACCGATGGGATCAAATCCTTTAAGAAACTTACCGTAAAACAAAGAGGAGAGAAATCAATAAAGTCGTCTACGATCACAAAAAAAAAGACGTTAGTTTTTAAAAATAATAGTGTTGCTAATTGTGATAGTCTTCTTATTTATTTAATATTCAAAGATCTCTAAAAATAATATACACCTTGTGTACATCGGCTACGGGAAATTTTAATTCGATTGTATAATATTGGTCCAGGGATCAAGCCAAAGATTGTTAATGTTTGTTTAAACAATAATAATGTTGTCGATTTATGCTAAATTATTCTGTGGATAGTTTAACACTTAGTATTTGTAACTTAGAGCATTTTATTTCACTTATTTTTATTACCCTCTCCAGAAAGCTTATTTTAGTATAAGGTGAAATGTATAGATAGACCGGAAAGGTAAATGTCATAATATTTCAGAAAAAAAAAGAAAATCAAAATAAAAATGTCTTAGTATAAAATAGATTAAGGTAAGTATAGGACCAGTACGTGTAAATGCTTTTCGGTGAATACGTTCAAAAGACAAAATATTTAGTGCCAAGAAAATGACAAACTTTTTGTGCCAAAAATAATATACATGAAAGCGAAGGGTCTATGGTAATGGGACCCACTGTTCGCTCAGTATTGAAATATTGAATGACGCAATTACTAAGAGTAATTCCAATTTTATCCACATACATATTAATTTTGCACATCCCTAGTTGTAAGTAAACACAATTAGATTTTATATTCTTGAAACATATCCCGATATGAAATTTTCCTCGTGTCTTCCCTTCTGTATATCAATATTAAATTGTAAAATTAATAATTGTATGTGCCAAAGTCGTGTCTGATTACTGTCTACGGATTTGTATGTGAATGTATGGATTTTTATTAATAACATCTCTATTTGTACTAGTCAAATTCGTCTGAAATCGAAGAAAATTCTATGAAATCTTTATACACTCTAGTCAAAATTTATCAATTGGTATTCATTTATATTTTATTCTAAAATGATATTAATATTATTTTCGATGTTCGTTTTTTGTTGTTTTTGTGGAATCTTGCTTCGATTATAACTTAGCAATAAAATGATAAAATCAATTATTTATAATAAATGTTTGCATATAAGACAAATGTATAGAGCTTTGTACATTTAATAACACAGGTAAAACTAGATTTAAATCTTTAGCCGTAACACGATAATGTGGCAGTTGGGTGTAAAAAATACTAGAGAGAAATTTCTAGCTGTGATTAACACTGAAATGCACTTTAGTGCTGAATGCTGGCGGAGCTTATAGTGGGTAGTAACAAAAAACTTGAGCATTATTCTATATTCGACTTTTGATAAGTATTAACTGTGTCTATTTGTCGAACAAAAATAAAAGGGTATTTAAGTTATTATTGCTAAAATATATAATGAGATTGCTTTTTGCCCATACTTGATCGTTTTACCTGTGATGCTCAAGTTATTTGTTATCTACATTCGGTCTGTTACAGGTAGAAATAGAAGCTTTGTTAGCTCTCAATGTATGGTCAATACTCCGATGCGTTGGGGAAACATCTGGTATAGTGCCATCTAAGTTTATGGCGGCTCGCAATTATGCACGAAACGCTGCGTAGAACATACAATTTTAAAGGGGAAACCCCTGCTCACGCTTTCCTAAATTAGGGTACCTGCGGGGAAATGCTGTATCTACATCCGAACCACCCTAATGTTTCAATATTGTAATAGCAAATGTACTTTATACTCTTTGTATGGCGTGTGCACAATAACCTGCAAATCCCGAACCGATTTCTGCTTACATGCGTGGTTGTACTGTGCGCTACAAAAGGGTAACGCGACGGTGACGTCATCTCAAGCCTCAATGTGCACGCAGGGCAAAGAATTTTGAATGTGAATATACTTAAAGGAGGTAGACTTACGAGTCTTTGTGTATTGATGTTGTTGATGCGTGTTATATAAATATTTAGTACAATGCAATTTTTTAAATATTAGCAAATAGTATTAATTTCGTGTCGTGTATTATTTGTGTATTATCGATTCGATGTAACATTATTATATATTACATAATTATATAATTATATTCGTGTTAGCGTAGCTATTAAAACATTGTTACTGTTATTTTGATTTGCTCAATTATTTAAAATGTTTACGTTAGCTAGTGATCATTGTAATTGACTTTTGTGTTGGATAGCGACCTAGTTGGAATCTCAGTCTAGCTGTGATGGCAATTTTTAAATGAAGACTTAGTTTTACAATGTATTATGAACCGATGCGTGCGTTTATTAGATAATGTAATGTATAGGGGCTTTGTGTACACTTCTGGATTGTTTTTGCAATGTATTAATGTCGTGTTATAGGCATTTGAAAAATGTACGGACGTAACGGTCATTGACGTATTTTTTATGCAGCATAAAAGAACCGTTTAGTAAAATTTTATCATTGTTTGAAGTTTATGTCGGTTCCGGTGGTGTGTTGACGGTCATGCAATATTTTGAATCATTTATTATTAATGTAGTTTTTTTTTGTTGAACATTATGAATTATTAGCCTTTATTAACAGGGTCAGATTGCGCTGAATAATAGAGTAATTTAAAATCAATTTTAGCAAATATTTACTAAATGTAATAGTAAATTTTTTAAACTTCGTGTTAGCACCTGAATTTTAAATTCTTATTGCACCTTTTTTCAAAATCCCAGTTTTGAATTTCGTGGCAATAAATTCATTGAAACTCTACCGAATACTCAAAAGTATTTAGATTTTTCCTCGTATTTCGAATTTCTAATTCGAGTTAAGAAGAATGTGCTAAATGAAATAATATTTTGCTAACTTCGTCACTTATCTAAATCCGCATACAGGTTCGGACGATTGGGTAATAAGGGTTGTGTAATTTGTTATGCATATACAATATATTTAAAAAAATATATTTGCTTCAATCCCTTTAGATACGATTTATTTAGTACCTACTTCAGATGTAAACCTACGCAGTAGACTACCAGGGTAATATGAAATACAGATAGTGTCCTAAGTTCACGTCACTTATAGTTCAAATTATTCCAAAAGCTTGTAAGGAATATTCAAAATTTAGACCAACTAGCTTTGGATGTATGAACAAAATAAAGCTAGTCGGTAAATTCCTTGTCGTACATACTGGCATTACCAAATTTGAACTGCACAACAGTTGTCTTCATATTTACCACCCTATTACGTTGTAGAGAGCTTATTAACCTTCATAAAAAGATAATATCGTTTGAATTTGTGAACCCGGTATAGTCTTTAGAGTATACGAAGATAAAATTAATTGTTTAAATAAATAATATTAAATTTATTGTCTTTTTCGCTGACTGTACCGTGTTGTCTGCTTCCGGGAGTAATCAGTTATGGATACATATCGACTGAATAGTTAAGGATAATGTCGAAATGGTAATAATTTGTCACTGCTGAAATATCGAAGAGAAAGCATTTAATTTTTCTCATAATCACAATTAACTTGTATGTCATTTTTAAATGGCTGCAATTATCATTTGTAAATTAATATCATAATAATCAGGGACTCAAACAATTTAATAATGTGAAATGTTTTTGGATCGGGCAATGTGTGCAATCATTCGTGTCCCAAATCAGGTCCTATCTTCAATCCTTCATATTTTTTTTTAATATTTGCCAGGAATAAATGATACGAGGAACAAAATTGAGGCACAAATTGTTTTTGTTTTCAATGCCTATAAAAATGGATTTAAAGATGGGACCTGTAGGTAGAGGTATGTAAATGTTATGTTGGATTTCAATCGGTGGTATTTAGATAGATCACATACGTAAGTAGAGATTTTTTTTCATTTATAATTCACATGTTTAGATATAACTCGTCATATCTTTCAAATATCACGTCTATTCGTCGACATATCTAATCGTTTTGTGAATTGAATTGATTAATGTTATAATAAATATAAATGTTGTACTTACGGTTACAGTATACTGTCATTGCGGTTAGTTTCAATAATAATGTTTGTTTTCATTATGTTAATTCAATAAAGTGTGTAAATAATTAAGTATTTTATTTTAAAACCTTTCCTGAGAAAATCGGTAAATGACAATGATAATTTATGATTGTATCGCACATTGATACATTATAGATAAATCTAATAATGATTTATCTTATGCTTCAGCTAAGTCTAATTATAAAACAACTCTGGTTTAACGTGATGAGCACCTCTGAAAGGGCTCAACGCCTCCCATCGGGACAGGCTGAAAACCAGTTCTCTCAATTGTTGTCAATTCATTGCATAAGAAACTATCCTATTTTTTTATGAAAACAATCTTTATTGTCACTTAAATAAGTAAAACATAAAGATATTTTATTTCATTAACCTTTCACCTCGACGATTAATTGGATAAGTATATAAATCAAGTTACAATTGCTATGGATTAAGTTATTCATGACAAAAGATGCATATTCGTTAAATGTGTGTCAAATGTGTGTCAAATGAGGTCGCTCAGTCACCCCACAATTTGATATTATGCCAAACTTGAAATATTTTAGTAATAGAATACAACAGTTCAGAGAATTGGCACATCCATATAATATTTCTATATTAAATTTAGAAAATGAATAAAGTCATGAGTATGCGTGGACAGGGAAAAAAGGTAGTAGAGAAGAAAAGAAAAATCGATTTTTAATTAGAAATTCTATATTTAATTTGTTAGTTACAAGTTGAGAATAACGCCACCTATTTTGAAATCACAAAATAACTTACTCTATAAAAATTTCTTATTAACTTAGTTAAAGTACATTGCGAAAGAAAATTCAATGGATGTTAGGTAACTTGCTTCAGACAGATATCCGTAGTGAATAATAAAAATTAAGAATTCCTTACGAGTAAATATTAGCAAAGAAGATAATACGGCCTCTATATTATGGGTTAGGTTAGAATCCTTTAGCTCTTTTGAGAATTTCACCTTCCCTGTTCGAACCGTCTCTCAGATTTTCTACTTGTCACCTTTATCTGCGAAATGTAAATATTTCATTTTTGTAAAATCGTTTACAAAGTATTACATAAAGAATTTTTTTTTGTTTCGTGAATTGAGCAAAAAAAAAGGAATTCAGCAAAAAAATGTTTATTACAAATGTCATGAAAAGTAAATAAATTATCATGAGAAAGAGTATATAATATTTGTACTAAAATAACAGCTTCGGTCTTTGCAAAGTCGCGGCCTCAAGAGCAAAGTGATCTGAATGAGAGGGTAGTTACCATGTTGCCTGCGGCTTGCGGCAACAAACGCCGCGCCGCTCTATTTGATACACAAAACTCGACATCTTTACTGCGGCCACAATAATATCTTTCCAAACGTAGCGAATACGCTGTTCTTAAGCTTTGTATTACAATTATATTAATATTTTATATTCTTATTGTCAAAACTACTTTGATATTTGTTTCGTCTTGTTAGTAGTTGTTTTATTGTACACCTATAAACATAATATACTCACTGATATCAAAATATCTTGTAACAAGTTGAATTCTTAACCATTTAAGATTCTCCATTTATCCTTTGCAGTAAAAAATATAACAGCAACCAAAAATAACTTCTGCTTACGTCCAATGTCGCGTGAACAATTCTCTTGGGGTTGTAATATTCTTTATACTCACGCTAGCTTAGCATAAATTAGTAACGCGAATGTCTAACACTAACATTTAATATTACAACAAAACAGCAATATATAGTCAGAACATAGGAAATATCGATCTTTTAAGATCCAACACCGTTCCAAATTTAAACATAACAAAAATTGCAAATGAATGTTTTTCAAGAATTTGTAGCGTAGGTAAAAAGGTGGGCTGAGTGTGTAAAAAGAAATACTCAAAAGAAACTAAATATAGGAAACAAACTAGGTGCCGGTGCGGGCCGTGCATATTTACAAAGGCGGTTCTCCGCTTTGCTCTGCGGAACGTAAAACAAAAGATTCCGCACAGGCTTTTATCACACAGATAAAAAAGAATTGTTCGCGATGAATAAAACAGACTTATTTCTCGAACCGCACTCTTAAAGGTTTTACGAGCAAATAAATTGTAAAAGAATCAATTGGTTGCACTCTCACTTTGCTATTGGACTTGAAAATAATCTTTTTTTTTTCACAGATTTGCGATTTGGTAGTATAAGGTGATACATGCAATATTTGCGACTTGATTAGATCTACATTTTAATATAGACTAGAAAACCTTAAGGAGTATTAGGTAAAGGAGAGAATGTGCAAAAATGCCTCACTACTTTATTCACAACAAGATGCGCAGAAGTATAAAGACTTTAAACTGTAGTATAACGATCGTAGTTGGTCGCTGAAGTAACAGATGTTGCCGCTGTTTGCTTCGTTATCAAAAGTATTTAATTAAATATTTTGAATTAAATGAATTTATAATTCTCTTATTACACAGAAAATATTCATACATCTTGTTTTAAATTATTTACAAATATTGTTTTAGATATAAGACTAATCCTTTGCGTGAATTTATACCAGGCTAGTAGCAGAGCTACAGTTGAACTCCACGAGACTGGCGACAGCGACGTCCCAGCGCCCTGACCTCTCGCCATGCTATTGACTTTGCCATGCCGATGCCGCTACGTGATACGAAAATAAATTAATGTCATTACACTTTCTCTTAATATTATACATTATACTAAATTCGACTACTACAAGGCATCTGAATATAAGCAAGAATCAAGATTTACAGAGTAACTTATAAACTCTATTCAAACTAAAGTAAACTCTAAAGTATTTGAAAAATTTAAAGACGTGAATTAAAAAAATGTGTGTCGTTATAAGCACTACAATAGACACATTCTAAAAAAGGTATCGATTATATTTTAATAAATTAATTTAATGTTGTTAACTGTGGAACAAAAAGAGTAAGGAACAAAAGATGTGTGCGCGAGGCGCGTAGGGCGCATGCCCGCCACTGCGCCACTCGCGGCGCACTGCCCCCTAGCGGAGCGCGCCGCAGTGAGTTGCGTAACAAAAGCACAGTCGTCTTCAAACGTCTCTCTGAAAACTTTCGCCCCTCCGTTCGCGCCGTACAAAATGGATAACCTTAAATAGATCTAAAAACTTTCTAACAAGAATTTTACTTGACAAATAAAAAAATTAATTATAAAAACAGATCAAGACTTTTTGGACACTGTATCGCTTTCCAATTTTATTTTTTTGATTATTCTAAAAGTTGTACAAAGTTGTCAGTGGCGAAAAGTGTAGTGGTTTTCGCCGGTTGAATACGATACATCGTATAGAAGTGTGTGTTTTTTGTTTGTTTTGTTTTATTTTGCTGACTGCGAGTGACGGCTAGTGGTGGCGAGTGGTGGTGGCTACCAGTGGGGGGCGCTGGTGGTGCCGGAATCGATACTGCGGTGGGAGCGGTGAAGGTAACTTTTAAATGTAACGTCTGATATTTGTTTCATACATGATATTTATTAAATAAGTCGTTATATGTAAAAATGTTAAGAGAAAGTTTTTGATTTGATTGACTGGATGCAAGTTAAAAACAAAAATGTTAATTTAAATATTGTAAAAATTAGGTTTTCATTTTCATAACGTATAACAATTATTTTCACAAATTATAATATAGTAGCTTAATTACTAGGGAAGGAATTACTTTGATATCACATGTTTTCTATAAAATTTCAATACATTTTTACTGTCGAACAAAGGCGACATTGCAATATACTCGTATACGGACACTGTTAACTTTTCTGCCATTAACTATAGAAAAATTCAATCATTGAAAGAAAAATTATTTAATTTAAAAATCTTTCCATATTTTGGTTGTTCACTTACAACGGCATAATTAATACAAATGTCGTCACAACACGTACGTTAATCATCATAAAAAATATATGAACCTGAAATGTTCTGTAATGTTCACACTATGTTTAGATTTTACGACTTGCCGTATTAAACTCCGTGGAGAAGCGAATAATGACCGTACTCTCTACAATATCACAATGTAACTTACTTACAGCGTGTTTTTTTTTCTAGTCGTTTAATAAAAAGTTGCGAAAACCCGACTTATTGTATTCTTGCGACTCCCCTGAGAAGAATATAAAATTAACAACACCATTCATTCCAGTCGTTTAGGGAATATGACGAGGTGTTTCCCGTTGGACCAATCGGTCTACCCAATGTAGTTTTTTTTCCCAATGGTAGAATCGAATCCATAGAATTAATCGACGCATTGGGGAAAAAATCTCATTGGCCGATTGATCGGTAGTCCGATCGGCCCAACGGGAAACACCCACTGCAGGTCATAATCAGATGGACATCTTTCTATCTGGAACAAAATGGAAATAAGCGAAGAACCCGCTAATAGAAGAATATCTGCAAATGCAGCCTAGAATATGATGTAAAGAAAAACAGATACACTCCTAATAAAATACTATACAGTATTCAAAACGATTTACTATGTTTGAACTATAACATCAAAAAGAAATTCTACGTTCGGATAAATGTAATAAAACTGTTACGTGAAACTAGATAAAAATGTTATGTGTGTCAATTAATTGATGTAAATGTATTGCAGTGTCTTGTTTATATGAACTACCGTAGTTTTCTGGCTGCGACCCAATATTTTGATTTAAATTTAAAATTTCTATTTCGAAAAGTGATACTTTTACCAAGACTGAGAATAAACGTTTTAATACTAAGTACCAACAATATTTGTGACAAATTTTTATAACATATATTAAAAAGTACTACAACGAAATTAGACAAAGCCCATACTTAACATTATGTCTTAACTTTAAAACTTCGTGTCGAAATATTTGCAAAAAGATAGTATTTTATAATTTAGTCCCGCCAACATTACTTGTTCAGATTTCCCTTTCTTACGAAATTAACGACATTGCGGTACTTTCGACGTCCTTTACAAATCCGTTACAAAGATAGAATCGATGAGGAAAGTCCGCCGATGTATTACATAAACCTCACGACCCTGCTTCAAAGATAAGCTGGGGAATTTTCTTTTTTGTGAACGTGAAGGTCCGATTTAATCAATCTTTTGATCATTGGCTTCGAAAAAAAGATATTTTCGTGCTTTTAAACCCAAATTATAACAATAGCTTATTTAGTCGTTCTCTTAAAACTTCAATAGTACTGTATATATTGGTAAATGTTTCATTATTGCACCGGATAAAGTAAAAATTATTAAACTAAAGTTGATTTATTGAAATGAAGAAACTCTTACATAACATAGTTAAAGTAAAAATAGTAAATTGCTAAACTTAAGCTAACTTATTTGTTGTTAATATTACGAAAACTACGTTATTTAAGAAAATTATGCATAAAAGTGTGAAGACTAATGCAACGACGAATAATTAAGGCAGTATTATCATCTAAAAGCAGTCCGCTAGTTGAAATTCTGTTTGAAATTTCAAAACGAAGAGAGTTAACGTGGAGTGGTGTTTTAAGAAATAATTTAAACTAAGCTTCTTAACTAAAGAAATTATCATTAAAACGCTTCTTGTTTATAGAAACAAGGCATGTTATACAATTGTTTAAATTTAATTTAGGGTTTAAGGCCTAAAAATCGAGTATGCATAAAAATGGATCGGAAAACTAGCGGAGACCTTACCAATAATTTATTGCGATTTTGTTCTCAATTCCAAAAAATGTAAAACGAAAAACTTCTCTGACTTCCGCCCACTCATTAAAGTTTTTATGTTTTTTTCTCTCGGTTCTAGCGGTCAAGTTCCCGACTGCCGAGTCGAGAGTTGTGGCCTATTTGCAACGCAAATTATTTGCACTTCTAACTTTAATTGTTAACTACAACAACTCTGCACTTTAACCATACATAATGGTATAACAACATTGAAGTTTATATTAAACACAACTTGTGTCTTTATAAAATACATTGTTCGACTTCCGTTTGTTTCCTTTCGACGCAGTAACGAGTGGCGGCCAAACGACCTATTGGCCGGGGATTGCGATCTAATTTCAGTTACGACACTTCCCGAACACCCATTTGTCTAGTTGGCTAGTTAGCGAACTAAGTCTACCGCTTAATTATTCAGTAATGTGTTTGATTGAGCTTTCCCTATTACACCTTAAACATCAGTTACCCTGATAATGCAATACACTTGTATATTGAGATATTATTGAAATACAATTCTAACGTGTACATTGCAAATTAAAAAAATCGCTGGTAGTTTGAAACACACTTCACCTTATTATTTTAAGTTCTTATGACCTGCCAGTACTTGCGTACGCGCATGTCTTTGAATTCATAAACAACCTAGCTTTAATTTCATTACGTAACTAAACAATGTCTTTTAAAACAAAACACCGTTGCATAAACTTGGCACATGAAAATGTAACGCAAACACGGAGGTAAAGTATCTCAACGTATTATAAATAAGCACATTAGTCATTGACAAAGATTATACGACACACGTTGTAAACAATATAGAGACGGCCGAGTGCATCGCAGCCGCACCTCACTCGTCACAGAATGTCAAACTGTTATAATTAGACGAGAAGTGGCCACCAACCTCGCCCTTGGATAATTGTATACTACGCTATATCAAAAGAATACATCTACAACCTTTCTCTACATTGTGCACTATTATTAAACTCAAATATTCATCCGCTTGAAATAATAAAAACTTTATTTTACAATTTACATTTGTTTGTTGATTTTTTTTATTGCAAAAGTCAAAATTCAATTGCACAAATGATAACCATGGCAACTTTGCTTCCTTGATGTTGACAGCTTGTAGTTTATGGTCTCTTTCCCACATTAGCGTTTTTATCCAATATATTTACCCCTAAGTTTAACGGCGTGGAAATATATAGCCTAAAGCGTGAAGTAAGTGTAGGGCTTTTCATCAAAAAAAGAGTTATTCGAAAATATGCTGTAATTGCTGACATCTTAGGCAACATAGAAGTGTGTGTTTACACTTTATTATATTAGTATAGATACAAGTATAGATATAGATAATTAAATGTTTTCGACAATGTGACTACATCTTACCGAATAGAATTGTTTCGCGACAACATTTTTCTACAAAAATATTATCTAATGCTTCAGTAGGCCGGAACGTAATCATCCCGATACAATCCCACGAACAATGTCATAGTGATTGAAGGCGACGTTGGACAACTATATCGACAGCTGGCAATAAATCATCTTTGTTTAATATCAACGTACAAAATTAATATTGCTATATAAAGGTTATTCAGCAATATTCTAACATTCTATCAATACAGGATTTAACAAAAATACAGGTACTGAAACATAACATCAAAGCATACCGTATCTTCAAAATTATTATTATTACGAAATAAGTAAAGCAATTATAATTAAGTAAGGTGTAGATAGTCTAGTAATAATAGGAATTAAATTATTTCACAGTCTCTTTTTAATTTTGACTTGTACTAAAATTCCATTATCAGTATGTATTTATTAAGACAAAAACCAACAGCATATTCGTATTGTATTTCTACACTAAATGTGGGGCGAAGATATACGTATTAATCATCATCCACTTGCCCTTATCATTTACGGAGGGTCGGCAAAGTATGTGCTGCTCTTCCATACATCTCTATCAGCCGTCATATCTGAATCCATTCC